CATGAGTATCTACCAGATATTAATCCCGATATTCAGCTGTTGTTATGAAATACCATTTAGAGAAACCAATGATGGGCAGCTTGTGCAAACTTAATTGCTTCTTGAATTGTCGTTTCAGGGTGAGTCGATGGTCGCCTCCAGTTCGGAAATGGGTAGTGACTGCGATCGGTCTCTCAGCCATCCCCTTTATCATTCATCCGATTGACGCTGCTGTGGAAGTTGGCATGAACAGAACAATTCGTCAGCTTTACAACCAGGAAGATCAAAGTTAGCGACAACATAGCTCGCAGTAAATTAGGTTTAAGTAACTAGTTTATCTTATCTTCCTACTTCTTTCGAAGTGCCAAGAAGATGTTTAACTGACTTAATGTGAAAATGTTTAATGACTTAATATGGCGAACTTAACGAGGTATGATGAAGACCTAAGAAAACCAAACGATTCTGACCATTGTTTTACTATGTTAGGAATGAAGTGTGATAAAGCTATTAATTACCTATGGTCTACTATCAGCTGTTATTGTGTTGTCTTTACTTGTACCGTACTCAAGCCAGCTTTAGCTCTGATATTTGTTTCGTGGACCAAGATCAGAAATCTGAAATCCTTGCCTACTGTAGTTTCGCAAAGCAAATGGGTTTAGTTCATCCAATCCTGTCAGTACTGAAAGACTTCCATTTCTTACTTTTCTAAATATTCTCGATTTTTTGATAGCTTCTAAGAGAAACCTATAGAGAATAGATTCTCAAACTGGCTTCTGGGAGATCTAGCGGTCAACCCCGGTTTAGTAGACGAGCCAAAGTAATTGTAGCGAAGGCGGGAAAGTTCTTCGCGAAATGTGAAAAAAGCTGGAAAAAACTGAGATGTTTGGGAAGATGGTGGGTGGTGTGGTGGATGGGCAAGTGGGGATACCAGAGAAGGGAATTTCAAGGGAGCTTCATTTTGCAAAATTTCTCTCCAACTGGACGTGCCCTTACTGCAATAGAGTTCGCTATGTACCACACTGGTGGGCGTGGCCAGCGACGCCGCACTTGCAGGACGAGCTGTCTTGCCTGTCATTAGAGCTGAACTCTTGCCTGCGCTCGAACTCGGATGAGTTTCGCTGCTCTAATTGTTAAACTGGCACACGTCGAGAATTTGCCGCGCATCACCGCACGCGCCGCGCTGCACAACAGCGATGAAGATTACGTGTCCTGTCCTGTCGCAGTACAGCACTTTTGAGGCAGTCCAACATGTACTACTCAAAATGAAGGACTTCACCCTTTGCTTGCGGCAGAGCTCCGATGGGACTGTTTGCGTTGGGTGATAGAATTTGATAACCATAGATACGAGCTGGTAACTGTCGATAACGATCGGATGTTCTTCACGTTAAGTTTCCAGCTCGAGATATGTGCCAAAATACTGGGTGACTCAAAGGTGATGACGTTTTTTCAACCCGAATGAAAATGCTCATTCTTGTGGAAGTATCAGGCTGAAAAATTGCACGAAGGAGTTTGGCTGAGGCGCTTCAAGATTTTTCGATAGAGGATTTT